TGGATAATTTGATTAGTTGATATTCAAAAATGTACAAATGTATCCGATATGATCGACATGAAAAAAATGATAAATCGATAATGTATACTTTTAATTGTTCGTTTTGTTTTACGCGTCAAACCCTTGACAAGCTATACATAAAAATGTACAATAAATTAAAATATAAAAATTATACCACTCCATCTGTCTAAAAATTTTTTTCTCGCTTTGACTTGGCATGGAGATTAAAAAAAGTTAAAAATGATAAAGATTTTTTATGTTTTGTCTTTGATGTGATGAAATTAAGTAAATAATTTAAATAAAAAGTGATGGTATAATGGAATATTTATTAAAATTTTGTTACCAAAATAAATAACGGGAAACAAATTTTTTGACAATCCAAAAGTGAGATAGAAATTAATAAAGAGGAAGTATCAAGTTATTAGTATTGAAAAATACTTTAATTGTATAATATTTAATCAAACTTTAAGTTCCAAAAGTGAAGGAGACATTTACTCCGTAAATAACAATGCACGGGCCACGGAGAATGTGGTTAAGTTACTAGATCGAAAAAAATCATGATATTCTATCGTGACTCTGGAGTGAGGCCCAATATATCTCTCTGGCCTATTCCTATTATTCCATCATATTTATATGGCTATTAGTTTATAATTTTAACTCAAAATCTACTCCTTATATGTTTAGAAGTACAATCATGCTACATTTACCCCAAAAAGTGTATCTTAAAGTTACACTAAAAGTATACACTAATATACTAATAGTTCACGCTGACACAAAATGAATGTGTGTTGACAAAAATTTGCACTAACATTTTCTGTCTATGTGAACTATCACTATATCATTACACTGACACAAAATAAAGGTATAAACATGCAGTTTACAAATTGGAATACAAATCTTGAGATACAAATAGCTTAATAATATTAAATTCATACTCTTTTGAGTTAATTTTATTAACATTTCACCGTGTAAATTTGATACATGGATAATTATTACTCAAGTATCTACTTATTTATACATAAACAACATTACAATTAATCTATTGATATTGTGAAATTTGTACTAAATAGTACTCCCTCACTTCTCAAAAAGAGTCTCTAATTTGACGAAGTGTAAAAATAAGTAAGTGTTAAATTGTAGTTGACTTTCAACTTTGTCTTTGATGTAATAGGTAAAAGTAAGATGTGATAGGTAGAGTATTAGAGAAAAAGTATAATGTGATCGGTAGGATATGAAAAGATAATTAAGGATAAAATGATTTTTTAATAGAAAATGGAAGTATTTTGTTGAATGTGGAAAAAATGAAAGAGGAAGTGTTTTTTAGAACAGAGGGAGTACTAAAACATACTCCCTTTGTCCTTGAAAATCTTTCTTCTTTTTTTATCTGTTCCAAAAAACCCTTCTTATTTCTATTAAAATGTCACTTTAACTCTTTATCCTTTCATACCTTACCTATCACTACCTTTTTACTAATAATCTACCCATCAAATCCTACTTTTACACATCATATCAAAGGTTTTTTTGGAAATTTAATACCAAAATAAACTTCTCTTAAATCTCTTAAAAATTAATAACTTCCATGTTCTTAGATCCGGAGGGAGTATGTCATTTTCCAATATACTCCGTAGTATTTAAGCTTAGCTTTTTTAATCACTAAATAGTACTTGAATAATGTCCAATAATGTTCAGTGGCGGAAATATTGTACAATGATGATGGACATCTAGTTTGAACAATGTCCAGTGATAGTGACATTTATTTGAATAATAACCAGCAGACAATGACTAATGGTACTACATTAGGAATTAAAAAACAAATGGTACTACATTGATGGCCTAAGTCAACTGAAAAAATTTGAAAGGGACTGACGGGTTGAGGTAGTGTATTTTAGTGTTAATCGCAATGAGTGCCATTTTCAATAGAGAAATTTGCCTAAATAGTATGAAAACATATTGACTTTTCTAATGTAATATCATATATTTTTATTTTCTAATGTAGTAACATTGTTGAATGTCTTCTAGTCATTGTTCAAGACTTCAAGTACATAACCACCACCACTGGAAATTGTGCAAATTAAATATCTACCATCACCGGACATTGTTCCCGCCACTAGACATTATTCAAAGACCATTTAGAGAATAAAAATGTTTAAATACTACATACTCTAAGAATTTTGGAGTACTGTTTAGTACGAGTACTATTTAATGTAAATTTTACTTTTCAATTCTTTGTTCATGCAAACAAGAATGCATTAACGAAACTCGAGAAATAACATTAAAGTTTTTTATTCTGCTTTGCGCCAAGAATTATTCACCATTGTGATGGAAACAGCAAACATCAATATATTTATAATCACTGTATAAATAAAAAAAGAGAGGGCAAACAATAGTAATTTTGTATCATTGACTTGTTTATTAATTTCTCTCATGCATTCATGCATGCATGCTTTGCCGGCCGCCGGTTCACGTGAATGAATAATAATCTAAAGCCCGTATTATTTCCAGCAACAGCAATAGCCAATGGGATCGTGGTCGAACTTACCGCACAGTCCGCCGCCGCGATCCTTACACACGTCGGCGCAATCAGAATCTTTGTCACATGATACGTCGGTATTGCATGGGTGTACCGGATTGTACAACTCATTTTCTGGTCTCTTGCCAACCCAACCTTCTACAAATGCTACAACATTAAACAAAACAAAACACATACAAAAGTCAAAACCAAAAATTGTTTCTCTTAACATAATCATCCATAAATATCGGCATGTAATATGTTTGGTGGCCTTTCTTCTTCTAAAAAATCAAAACAAAAAATATTTTTAAAGGAAGTACTCCCCCCGTTCTCAAAAACACTTCCTCTCTCATTTTTTCCACTTCCAACAAAACACTTCCCTTTTCTATTAATTAAAAAATCACTTTTACCCTTACTTTTTCATACCCTACCTATCACATCATACTTTTTCTCTAATAATCTATCCATCACATCTTACTTTTACCTATCACATCAGGGACAAAATTGGAAATCAACTGTAATTTAACACTTCCTTATTTTTTGCCCCAAATCCAAATGGGAAGTGTTTTTCCAAACGGAGGAAGTAGTATTTTTGATGTATTTTTGGTACAAAGCATTTTGATGTATATTTTGGTCAAACAGTATTTTTGATGTATATTTTGGTCAAACCATATTTTCCCTCCGTCCTACAAAACATTACTCAATTTGATATATTTTTGGTCAAACAGTTACGCACTTTGACCATATATTAAATATAATCCAAATAAAGAAATAATTTGTAATCAAATGTATGTATTTGATCAAATACTATTCAAAATGGATAACGTTTTGTGCGACGGAAGAGTGTGTATGTGTGTGTCTATATATATATATATATATATATATATGCATGTATGTAAATAAAATTAGGGTAATGGAAATAGAGGGAGCATGTATATTGTATACCGGTTGATGAGAGAGGCATGATGAATGCAAGAATAAAGAGGATGGCCATATAATTAGCCTCCCGTTTGAAGCCAAAACCACTCATACTATCGTACCTTTTGCACTTCGTTGATTCTTTTTTGTTTGACCCAATAATGATAATTAAATACCCTTATGTGTGTGTGGGGTGGGGTGGGGTGGGGTGGGAGTGGGGGGGTATGACAGATACAATTGGTTTAGATTCATTTTCACACATGCTGTTTAACTACCCGCTTTAATTAATTTTCTAAATTTCATTATATATGGCTGAACTTTTACTCTCTTTATCAAAAAGCTTTTTCTTTTATTTTTTTCCTTTCATCAACATACTTCCATTTCTGTTTTAAATCATTTTTACTCATATTAACTTTTACTTTACCATCACATTATATTTTTTACTAATAATCTACCCATCACACATCTTACTTTTACATATCAGATTAATGATAAAATTGGAAAGTCAATTCCAGGCAACTCTTTAATATTTTTTTCCCAAGTCAATATTAGAATTGTTTTTTTAAACCAAGGAAGTATTTTTTTTCTTCGGTCCAATAAATTGATTTTATATTTCTCTTAATTCTCATAAATTCCGGTAAATAATCGGAAGTGACACCAGAAAAAGATCTTTTTCTAGATGAGGAAAAGTATTCCATCCCTACCCCCCCCCTATGGAAAAATATTAAAAAGTCGTTCGATCAGGCTTTATTATTGCACCTACTTGTGTAAATTTATGGTATTGGAGTCCGCAAGTGGCAAAAAATTAAATAAGTTTCCATATGGTATTATTTTTTGAAGATACATATGGTATTTAAAATAATCAAACACGTTTAAAAATGAATCTAAGCAAATTTCGTAACATTATATACAATGTGACACCACTGACACACACAACCTTTCCTTTCAATATAAATTTGAGAGTCAAATATCTTAGAAGCTAACATGTGTCAAGCTTTAAAGACATGTGCCAAATCCTAGAGATGACATGTGGCAAATTTAATATGAATTGATTTCTTTTTTATTTTACTTTCTTATTTTTCATCTCTTCAAATATCACACTTTTTCACTCCTTTTTCCAAAAAATGATAATTTCCCATTTCAAAATTCATGAATCTAAATTTTGTGTTTAAAATAATATTTTTATATACTCACTATGTTCCCTTAAAAAGTTCTTGTTTTGACTTTTAGCCAAATTAAGAAAAGTTTAATTTTAGATATCTTTCAAATTTTGCCCCTGATGTGATGAGTAAAAGTAAGATATACTCCGTAATATTTTGGTTATTAGTGAGAAGGTATGGTATGATAGGTATGGTATGAAAACGTATGGGTAAAAGTGATTTTTTAATAGAAAAAAGAAGTGTTTTAAAGAACGGAGGGAGTATGATATATTAATTTTAATAAAATATTACAGTATATTCTAACAAATATACGCGAAATTTTTTTAATTTTATTACTGGAAACAAATTTAGTAAATCTTAAAATTTACAAAACGAGTTTTAGATGTATATATACTTTGTAATAAAATAGCATAGTCACGTCAATTATTTAGTACTTGTAAATACATAAAAAGATCTAAGAGATTTAGATATTTTATCAAATGATTAATGAAAAAATACACATTGTGATATTGGTTTCCTCATTATGGATAAATTTTACCCAAAAAATACACATTGTGATATTGGTTTCCTCATTACCCAACCGACAAGCCAGACTCTTACCCCCATTATCACCATTCCACCACCTACCCCATTCACTTCCCCCATGAACCCCGTGCCTGTTTTTCCTTCAAATTTCCCCGGACCCCTTGATCCAATGTACACCCAAGCCCTTCAGAGTTTTGGACATTTCATGTCCATGTTTCAGCAACCCGGAGGATTTCCACCTTTTATTCCGGGATTGTACCCACAATCCTCGCCTCAAACTAACATCATTTGCCCGGTCGTCCCGACAAACCTAATCGGGGAGATGGACAAAGCAGGCCCGTCCCGATCCCGGAGGAGCCGGTCCCGCAGGTCGCAGACAAAGGTGACCTCGGATGGGAATGTGCGTTCAGTCCATAGCAAAGACGAGGATTGGGATGTCCCCCAAGCGCTCAAAAAATTGAAGGGAAAGGATGTTCAACCAGAAAGATCTAGGAGGTCGGCCTATCAAAGGCTGGGACACGATGACCAAAATCAAAACCGGTCAGCAAAGGAGCGGTTGGGGGTGGAGACCGTCCCGGCTAGTGCCCTTAATCGTGTAGGGGGACGAGCCGGACGACCTGGTCAGACCAGGCGAACGGAACCACCCCCACGAGATGAGCCCCAGCACAGCCGGGCACCACAAGAGGAGGAAGCAGAAAGCCACCCCAGGCACACGACCCGTACCCTTGTTGAGCCACGGGATCGTGTGGGCCGGGTTGAGGCACGACTGGAGAAGCTACAGCGCCGGGTAGACCGGGAGGAAAAGAAGAAAATCCTGTTGAACGAATCCCCGTTCACAGATCGGGTTCATGAAACCCCATTTCCAAAGAAGGCAAAACTGGAAGTCCCGAAGTTCACCGGGAAGGAGGACCCGGAAATTCACGTCAAAACCCTCCATCAAAGTGGGCGGATGATGGGTCTTTCCGGGGATGAGAAATGTTTGCTTTTCTTTCAAACCCTCCGCGGCCGTGCCGCCGAGTGGTTTCATAACTTACCGGCCGGTGAAATCGATTCTTTCGATGAACTGGCTGATGTGTTTCAAGAAAAGTTCAAGGAAAACTGTACCAAGAGGAAAAAGTTTATCTACTTGAGTACAGCCGGGCAGCGAGAGCACGAGGATCTGACAAAATTCCTTACCCGGTCGAAAGATGAGGTTGATAAGGTGGAGGAGATGGACGACAAAACAGCCATGTCCCTCCTTGTGTCCGGGCTCCGGTCTGGAGAATTGTACAAGGAATTCTGCAGGAGGCCTCCCCAGTCCTACCAGGAGGCCTACAACACAGCTTGGGATTATGCAGACGCTGAAGCACAGGTGTCGTTAAAAGGGAGGCCGAGCAGGGCCATCCCAAAGGAAAGATTTCCTTGAAAAAGGAAATTGAACTGCCCGGTAGAGCAAAGGCTGAAGTCATGGAGGTAAAGCCGGTCAAATCAGAGAAGAGACCGACCGGCGAAAAGCAATGGACGGAGAAGTATTGCTCTTTCCACAAAACTGATTCCCATAACACTGCGGAATGCAACAGTGTGAAGGGAGTAATCAAACAAATGATTGAGGCCGGGGAGATCGATCCTGAGTACCTAGCTCAGGCCAAACCAAAGAAGAACCAATGGGTTAGGCCTGAAGGACAGCCGGCCGAACAGAACAAGAAGAAGAAAGCCGCCGGCAAGGAGCACTTACAGGTTATCTACGGCGGGCCGGAAGGAGGAGATTCTGCCTCCCAAAGAAAGAAATGGGGGCGAGAACTCTACGTTGGTACGGTGGCACTAAATCCCCAGTCGAAACAAGGGAGACGGGAACCGATCACTTTTACTGATCGGGACCTTCCCGCCACCGGAGAAGATCACAATGACCCCCTGGTGATAACTATGGACATGGGTGGAGTTGATGTCTCCCAGGTACTTGTTGACACGGGCAGCAGTGTTAACGTTTTGTACCTGGATGCATTTGAGAAGCTCAAGTTGTGTCGAACACGACTTGAGCCCTTAAAGACTCCCCTGTCTGGGTTTACCGGGGACTCAGCCGAAGCTGAGGGGTCGATCCTTTTGAATTGCGAGCTGGGCACAGGTGAACAGGTCGTCCAGAAACAAATGAGGTTTGTAGTTGTGAACATCAAATGTGTTCACAATGCCATTTTGGGCCGGCTTGGGATAAATAAGGTCCGTGGGGTCATCTCCATGGCCCATCTCTGTATGAAGATTTATACCCCGGGAGGTATAGGACAAGTCAGAGGAGATCAAAAGAAGGCCCGACATTGCTATTTGGAAGTTGTAAAGAAGATGACGAAGGCCTTTGAGAGAATCACTTTGGTCTCTCAAGAGGAAGACCGGTCAAAGTTGGAACCGGGTGATGAGACCGAGCAGATTGTTCTCCGGGAAGTCTTCCTAGAAAGAATGGTACGGATCGGAAGAGATCTGCCCGGAGGACTTCGAGATGAAATCATCTCAGTTCTTCGGGAATATGCAGATATTTTCGCTTGGAGTGTGGCGGACATGCCGGGCATTGACCGTTCTGTCATATGCCACCGTTTGGCTGTGATAGAAGGGAGCCGGCCTGTGAAACAGACGAAGAGGCACCTGGCAAATGTCCGGAGGGACTTTGTGAAGAAAGAAGTCAAGGATTTGTTGGCGGTCGGGCACATACGGGAAGTACAATACCCGGCCTGGCTGGCTAACGTCGTCTTGGCTCCAAAAGGCGACACCTGGCGCATGTGCGTGGATTACACGGATCTTAACAAGGCATGCCCCATGGATTCATACCCGCTGCCCAGTCCCGATCAGATGGTCGATGAGACGGCCGGGTGTGAGTTGCTGAGCTTCATGGATGCCTTCAAAGGCTATCATCAGGTCTTCATGGCAGAGGAAGACGAGGAGAAGACTTCTTTCTTAACACCAGAAGGCACCTATTGTTACCGGGTGATGGCCTTTAGGCTAAAAAACTCAGGCGCCACTTACGAGAGGATGGTGAATCGGCTTTTTAAGCCACTCCTCGGTAAATCCATGGAGGCCTATGTGGATGACATGCTGATCAAGAGCCCAGGTGTGGAGAACCACCCGGCCGACATGAGGCTTTGCTTCGAGATTATGGCAAAGTACAACTTGCGTCTCAACCCCAAGAAATGCGTCTTCGCTGTAAAGACCAGTAAGTTTCTGGGGTTCATGGTGACCAAGCGTGGTATTGAGCCAAACCCGGAGAAGATCAAGGCCATAACTGAAATGAGGTCGCCCAGTTCGCTGAAGGACGTACAACGACTTACCGGGCGGCTAGCAGCCTTGAGCCGTTTTCTCTCCCGGTCTGCTGAAAGGGCTCTGCCTTTCTTCAAGGTGTTAAAAAAGGCCAACACATTCGAGTGGGACCAGGAGTGCGAGGAAGCTTTCCAGCAGCTGAAGGAGTACTTAGTCTCTGATATTGTTTTGTCAAAACCCAAACTGGGTGAGATTTTGTACTTGTATCTGGGAATTTCCCAAAACGCTGTAAGCTCTGTTTTGATAAGAAATGAAGACGGCCAGAGGCCTATTTACTATGTGAGCAAAGCACTAAATGGGGCTGAAAGCCGGTACACTGCCATTGAGAAAACGGCATACGCGCTTTTCATAACGGCCAAAAAACTGACCGCATACTTCCAAGCTCACACTGTGGAAGTACTGACCGATCAGCCACTTGGACCGGTCCTTCGAAATTCGACCTCCTCGGGAAGGTTGATCAAGTGGGCGATGATGCTCACTCAGTTCAAAATAGAATATAAACCAAGGACTGCAATTAAGGGTCAAGCTTTGGCAGACTTCCTCGTTGAACTAACCGGTCTAGAGCCCGAAGCCGGACCTTCCCATACGGTCGAACCGTGGTGGGATATGGCCGTTGATGGAGCCTCTAGACCAAAGGGATGCGGGGCCGGCGTAGTCTTCACTACCCCGGAAGGATTCAAGATCTACCATGCCCTGATCTTCAACTTCAAGCTCACCAACAATGAGGCGAAGTATGAGGCGTTGGCCGGTGGCCTCAGATTAGCCCGGACACTCGGAATAAAAAGGATGAAGATCCGTTCCGACTCAAGTCTAGTGGTTGGACAGGTCAATGGTGAGATGGAAGTAAAAGAGGATCGCCTGGCCCGGTATAGTGATCTGGTCCGAGCGCTTCTAAGGGAATTAGAAGAGTTTCGTCTGACTAGGATACCCCGGTCGGAAAACGCTGATGCAGATATGCTTTCAAAATTGACGCAAGCTTGTCCAGAGCATGTGTCAAAGTTGGCGAAAATTGAGATCCTAGACGTTCCGAGTACAGACCGGTTTGAAGTCGCGGCCGTCCAACCGGGCCAGACTTCAGCGACCGGGATAATCGGAGCGGATGATGACTGGAAGTATGAACTCATGGAGTATCTGGAGACCGGTCAGAAGCCAGATGACGAGGAACGAGCCAGGAAAGTAGTCCTATGGGCTCCACGTTTCCAGGTAATCGAGGGTCATCTATACAAACGTGCCATTGGCGGACCACTCTTGCGTTGCTTGACCAACCCGGAGGCTGAACGGGTAATAGCTGAGGTGCATGAGGGAGTTTGTGCAGCCCATCAAATGTCCCGCACTTTAGCTCAAAGGATAATCCTACTAGGCTATTACTGGCCGACCATTGTTGGGGATTGTGAAAGGTATGTCCAGAGATGTAGAACGTGCCAGGTTTTTTACAAACATCCCGGCAGATCGACTACATATTACCAACCGACCTCTAATGTCATACCATTTGCCCGGTGGGGAATTGACATTATTGGAGCCTTCCCGGTTGCCCAAGGCGGAAAGAAATTCGTGATGGTGGCTATTGATTACTTCACTAAATGGATCGATGCTAAGGCGATGGCCACCATAACCGTACGGCAGTGTGAGAAATTTGTTTGGAAGAACATTATCACCCGGTTTGGTGCCCCAAAAATCATTGTCACCAACAACGGTCCACAGTTTCGCAATCCCCGATTCACTGCGTACCTTGCTAGCTTCGGGCTCAAGCACAGCAAGGCCTCGGTAGCATATCCACAGGGAAATGGCCAAGTCGAAAACGCTAATCGGACAATTGTGGACGGCCTAAAAAAGAGGCTGGGTGAGGAAGGACACAAGTGGTTGGAAGCCTTGCCTCACACGGTCTGGGCGCATAGAGTGACTTCAAGAAGAGCAACTGGAGAGACTCCTTTCGTGCTCACTTATGGATGCGAAGCCCGGTTACCAATAGAGGCAGAAATTCCGACATTTAGAGAAACCGTCTACCAGCTCGGTCAGAATGAGGTCGACCACCTCGCTGAACTAAATCTGGTGGAAGAACGAAGGACCATAGCAGCTGTCAAGATGGCCAGTTACCAGCAGTCAGTAAAACGGTATCATGACAACCGGGTAGGCCCACGATACTTCCAAGTGCATGATGAAGTTTTGCGCACGAGGGATGCTAGTAAGCCTAATGAGAGGGGCAAACTGGCACGTAATTGGGAAGGGCCCTATCGTGTAAAAGCAATTGTCAGACCGGGCACTTATCAGTTGGAGACTATGGAAGGTGGCCGGGTCGATCGACATTGGAACTCTCACCACTTGCGTAAATTTTATAGATAAAGTGTAATGGGTTCCCGGCCATTAATAAAAGTTCGTTCTTTTCAGAAAGATTGTTCTCATACATTAACGGGTAATTCGTCGCGTACCAATCTACCCGGATAGATGTCCAATCGAATTGGACATCTTAAAAAAAAAAAGAAGAAACCGGTCTGACCGATCTAACACCTCATCCGTACCGGTACGGGAGTTAAAAACGATTTGACTTAACTAGAGGGAGAGCATCCCGGCCAGTTTAAGCCAGACGTTTTGAAGAAAAACTTAAGGTTTACCTTTCCACAGGGGCATTAAGCCATTGTGGAAACAGGTTGGCCTTACAAAAGCCCGGGCAAATACTTAACTTTTCGAAAAGAACAAGTCAATACGCCATCGAGGGTTATACCAAACTGAGAGGAAACTTAATTTAAAGTCTTCCCGGCTGATTATCCAGTCTTTCGAAAAGACTTGGTTAAACTTATATTCAAGCCGGGTACGTACAGCCGGGCTATTAGTTACTAATCTAAACGGTAGAAGAATCTAAGTTGACAAGAATTAAAAAAAAAAGCACTCAGCACATAACATAGAAAATATTTTCATTAATATTTCAAACGGTTTACAAAAAGCGCCCGGAGGCAGGATATTACATCATTTAAAAAAAAGAGAATCAGAAGAGGAAAGGAGGCCGAACGGATCAGATGCCCAGGAAGGGAGGTTCAGGTGCCTCGCTATGCAGCTCGGGCAGAGATAGAGCCTTCAGCTGAAAACCTTGGATCCTCTGCTGAAGGATGCCATAGAGGGCCTTCCGCTCCGAGTACTGGCCGCTTTCAAAGCTGTAGGTTCCGATTTCGTCGACGATCCCGGCCGAGACCTCGTACTTGTACAAGCCTTGGAAGCAGCGGATGGCAGTCTCCCGTTCAGGCAACGCCTTACCGGTGAACTCCTCAGGCGCTTGAGTAGCCCAGGCAGCAGCAAGGGCGGCACGCTCCGACTGCTCTTTCGGCCTCCAGTTGCTGGATCTTGGCCTGGGCCTGCTCATCAGCCTCTTTCGCAGCCTTGAGAAGTCCATCATACTTGGCGTAGAGCTGGCGGTAGACTGTGTAATGCTCCAGCCACTTCGCCTCCGTCTTCTCCGCCTGGGCACGAGCGGCCTGAGCATCCTTCCGGCACTGGACCATCATGGCCTCCATCCGGGCCATCTCCTCTTCTTTGGACTTCACCAGCCGGGCGAAGTACTCCTCCCCAATCCGACCGGCCTGCTTTAATGACAAGGAAATTTTTCAGTAAGAAGCATCAGGAGCTGAAAGAAGATAAGGAGAAAGGAGTGGGGGATTACCTCACTCAGGTCAGCACGAAAAGCTTGGAAGAGCTCTTCGTCCGACCTGGACATCAGAATCTTGGACCGGGGCACTATTGGGCCCTTGCCAGCATCAGAGGACTGGCCCCTCTGGTGAGATGGCTAGTCGACCTCCTCGGTCTTCCGCCTTTTCCGCTGAAGGGACTCTTCGGCAGCCTCTTCCTCACCTTCGCCTTCCTCCTTGGGCTGACCCGACTGGCCGGCCTAAGAGGTATGGCCGGGCTCTCCCAGCATGTTATCAAACTCGAGGGTGTCTACATTGAAGTAGATCTCCCCCGAGTGGATCGGCTGGCTGGTCCCTTGGTGAGAGTGAGCCGGCTGATCGTCCAACACGAACGGCTGGCCGGATGGAGGAGTGAGTAGCTGAGCAAAGGAGGGCTCCTCAACCACAATCTGGGGGACGGCAAACTTGGACTGAAACTTCACCACTGAAACAAAAAAGGAACCGGTTAGAAGAATGAAGTTAAGAACAAATTAATTCAAATGAAAAATGAGAAGGGCGGTTGATTGACCTTTCTCCTTCTTCTTCTTCGCCGGGCGTGAAGGACCGGCATTAGTAGTGGCCTGGGGTTTGGATCCCCTCGCCTGGCGGATGGGGATGGCTTCGGGGATCGCCCCGGGCAGAACAATCTCCGGTTCGGGGTTGGTCTCCCGGCCGGGGTAGACACTCCACTTCCCGACGTGATAAAGACCGCGGGTGGAGGCGTCCCCGGCCTTGAGGGTGGCTTCCCAGGCAACCAGGTCGTCGGCTTCCGCAGGTTTGACCTGGCGCTTCATTCTCTTCCCCCAGACATTTTGGGCAAAGGGGAAAGCAGCCGGGGGGAATTTGATACAAACATATTTGTCCTTCCACTTCTTGTTAGAAGGTGGAAGGCCGCAGAGGAATGCCCGGCCTTGGTGAGAAGACACCACCACGAATCCAAGGGTTTCCTTGGACCCGGGCCGGACATCGAACATATGGTCGAAGAGACGAAGGGAGAGGGGAATACGAAGAAACCGGCAGACATTGATGAAGCTGCCTAACAGACGGTGACCATTAGGGGCAAGTTGCCCGGGCATGATACCGTATGACTCGAGGAAAAGGACTTTGATCCCCACTTATCTCTTAAGCGGGTCCAGGAACTATCTCACCATCACTTACGGTTAGCTGGTACCGACATGGAGAGGGATAATGCTCTTCCATGTTGCCCGGTAAGTCAATTGGTACCCATCCGGCATCAGGTTGCGCACCTCGTGGACTTGGGCCTTCTGCATGATCGACGATTGCGTTTGAACCAACCGGTCGTCAAGCAGAATGAAGCCCTCGTCCCCGGGCTGGGCAACCGGGGCCACTTGCGCCACGGGAAAAGAAGGAGCGCAAGTGGAAGCATCAACCGGCTTCTTCTGTGGAGAAGTAGTCGGGTGCTCGGAGTCAGATGATGAAGAAGAAGAAGAGGAACCAAAGGTCGGAGACCGGCCGCCAGAACCATAAGAGTGAACGGAAAGGTTCTGGCTATCCTCACGGTCTGACATGACTCAGAAAAGGATTGAAAGAAACTTGACGATTAGAAGACTCGGAGGACTCGGAAATAGTAGAAGCAGCCGGGTAGTTTTTTGAATTGAAGATTTGCAAGTGAGGAAATTCTAGGGAGAACCACGCTTTATATAGGACAGATGCCGCCCAGACGGGCGAATGAAGGAATGACACGTGGCAGCTGAAATGATTTGCCATCATTACCTCTCAGGGAGACGAAACGGCATAATAAATCGGCGGCTTCGTACCCGACCTCGAGACGTTTCTCCCGCTTTGGATACCCGGTTTTTGAAAGTTCAAAATTCAAATTTCAAATTTCAAATATTTTGGGTTAGGCGCTGGTTTTCCGAGGCAATTTTCCCGCCAAAAAGCAACTGGGCAGTTCAAATTTCAAGAGACAATCGCATGTGCTTCCCGCTCCTGATGGTCCCCACAGGACCGGGAATCGGAGGACTCCTTGATGGGTAATAACCCATGGATACCACCCGGTTGGTTCGCCCGACTGGGTGGTGACAGAAGATGACAGAGCGCAAGCTTCGCAGACCGGGTCGTGGGACCGGTTGGCTGGAAGGATTGACGTGCCCGGTTGGATAACCAGAGACATGCTTGACGTGCTTAATTTTGTTATAAATACCCCTAAAACCCTCATTTGTGAGGCATGCTTTAATAAACCTACACGGCTTGTACTGTTGTAATAGCTTCTATTATCATTAATAACAAACCGGGTTACAAGTGCTAAGGGCAGACCCCTGGTGCAACCCCATCCCTACCGAGAATGACTCAGAGTCGCCCCCGAAGGTCCTTACCCTAGTCATAGCCCCATCGTACATATCCTTGATCGCGCGAGTGTACGCGATGGGAACTCCTCTCGTCTCAAGGCACCTCCATAAGACCTCCCTTGGCACCCTATCATACGCCTTCTCGAGATCAATGAACACCATATGAAGGTCCTTCTTCCTAGCCCTATACTTTTCCATTAACCTCCTCACGAGGTGAATGGCCTCTGTAGTTGATCTGCCAGGCATGAAACCAAACTGGTTCTCAGAGATGCATACTCCTTTCCGCACCCTATACTCAATGACTCGCTCCCAAACCTTCATGGTGTGGCTAAGCAGTTTGATGCCTCTGAAATTCTCGCAGCTCTGGATGTCACCTTTGCCTTTAAACAGGGGGACCAAGAGACTCTCCCTCCACTCATCTGGCATCCTTGCTGTGCGGAAGATAACATTGAAGAGTTTGGTTAACCAAACCCACGCACCACGACCCGCATGCTTCCAGAACTCCACCGGAATCTCATCTGGTCCCAAAGCTCTCCCACTACACATCCCGCGGAGAGCCCGAACCACCTCTTCCATGCAAATGCGCCGGCAATATACACGAGACGCCCCGGATTGCCCCAGCTCATCAAGAACTAGCCTCTGCTCTCCTCCCGCATTTATGAGTTCACAAAAGTACTCCCCCCAGCGCTTAGCCACCTTGGCAGTCTCAACTAACACTCTACCATCACTGTCCTTCACGCAACGCACGTGGTCCAGATCTTGGGCCTTCCTCTCACGCACTTTAGCAAGCCGGAACAGTGTATTAACACCGCCTTTCCCCTCAATATCCTTGTAGAGGCGTTCAAAAGCGGCATTCTTTGCCCTTGTACCCTCTAACTTAGCTTCTTTACGTGCCTTCTTGTACTCCACTCGTAACGCCGCTCTTTCTTCCTCAACATTGCAGCCCATGTACCTCACATATGCCACCTTCTTAGCTTCCACCTTACTCTGGACTGAACCGCTCCACCACCAATCACCCTGCCGCCTACTCCCTGAGCCAGAGCTCACACCAAGCACTTCCCTGGCAGCTTCCCTGATGCAGTTAGCAGTCTGCGTCCACATATCAGCAGCCTCTCCGGCCGATTCCCACGCCCTTTCTCCTGCACTCGCCTGATCAACTCAGAGATATTCTCCCCACTTAGTCTCCTCCACCGGATGTGTGCGTTTCCACTCGAAACTCTCCTATGTTTCACCCACCTGATCCTGACATCCATCACCAGAAGCTTGTGTAGGGTGGTGATGTTTTCACTCGGAATTACTTTAGCATCCTTGCAGAGCACCCGATCACACCTGCGCAGGAGAATATGCAAATATAATATAAATATGATTTTTTTGTTCGAACGTTAATTACAGTATTAATAAAGGATTACAAATACATATATTAGGGGGTTTGATTTGGATGATTCTCCATCTCTTTTAATTACAGTATATTCTTAAGGTGAAAAATGAAACAAAAATTCAGAGAAGAAAATTATATAGATGATCATGCCTACATTTTTAGGTTTGAATGAAGAAAAAGGCACACATGTAAAAAAGGAAATAAGTAGTTGGTTCTGGAAACGAAGAATAGTGGGAAGTTGGATTTGGGACAAGATTTACGACATTCAAGATGCTCAAATGTCAAATAAAAGTGCAAACAGAAAATACTACGTAAGTTTGTTTTGACAACGAAGTATAATTATAAGTATTATTATGTGTTATTACTAGGATGCCAATTACATAAATATGTAAATACATGACTATTTAATTACATAAAGTGTTTGGCATTACATGATTGAATTTAGGATACCATGATAGAATTTAGGATGGAGTATGGTGGATATCTGGAATGGGCAATAAGACACTTGGGTTGAACCACATTAAAAGATTGAATCCAATCGATTACTTAGTTCAACTCAAGACCTTATATACCGATAACTTTTTCTATTCAACTTCCGATGTGGGATAAACTCTAACAATTACTATTACAGGTGCTGCATCCAAACACACCCATATTGTTTTCTTTTCTTTTCTTTTTGCTTAATATTTGTTCTCATTTTCATTAGCTCTCATATCTATGTTAATCATTTTTTTTATGTTGGCTTTCTAAGTTAACTTATCCTTCATTGTTTTACGCCTCATAGAGTCATAGAGTAGAGGCATTAAAGTACTTCTCTTCTTGAACTTGCATTTTCTTGAAATGTGAAGTTGACTTGGAGTCATCACCCATAAAAGGGAACATAAAATAAAATTACGCGACAAAGGTTGGCCACAAACAATTTACCATTTTAGACATTCCGAATCGACACTTGACCCCTAAAGCACACTCACACTTCAATCTGGTTTTTTCAAGTTGAAACAATTATCGGAAGCTTGGTTGAACAGCTCTTGAACCTGCTTCAGCTCCTTCTCTGGTACAAATAGCATCACAAATGCCAATCAGAATAATATTACTATGTATTTTTGTAAACCACTCATAATTGACAATGTNAATTGATTAAATCAAAACAGCAGATTAAACTTTCTTTGCTCATTACTTTAATGAAGTTTTGGGTAGTAAATGTAGCAATGCATCAAGGGTCTATTGGAAGATGTCACTCTGTATTTTACAGGGATAAGGTTGTGTGCATTTTGACCCCCCACCCCCACCCCAAAGACCCCGACGAAGTTGGGATTATATTAAGTTGCTGTACCCCGCATTTTGTAAATTAAAAGAAGGCCATTTCAAAAGTGAATGATGGTTCATGCATACTTACTAAAACAATCTTCAGTAAAAGATTTCTACAAACCATTTTTCTCCCCACAAGTTATTTTACTGAATGTAAGTGGAACCTTAATGATAACTAAATTGAGACACTAACATAAAAAAACTAGATTCATAATGCAAGTAACTACGCAATGTATATGCACTCTAAAATGTTAAGTGCAGAGTATAAGACATCAGTATGTACCTGCAGCTTCCAGTTGCTTTTGAAGTTCTTGGCCTACTGCATCATTCTCGGCCTGCAAAGCATTTATAAACAAAACCTCCTTTAAACAAATAATGAAGCCAAGACATTTTTTATTGGGATGACAAAAACTGGGACTACAATTAGATGCAATAAAATGATTTTCCTCAAAATAGATGGGCTATAGAGAGGAGGGTTTTGGAAGGATTTGGGGGAGAATTCTTTAATGGGCTTAGTCTATATCTTGATAAATACAACTTTTTTAAAACTAATAAATTGATTGAAATGCTATATATATTGGCTTAATATCTCAATATATATTAAATCTTAAATACACGTCATGATATCTAGATTAAACTCCCCTCCAAAACCTCTCTCCAAAACAACCCCTTGTAGATGTGAAAAGAATGCAGCAAGAAACAAAATGAGTAAATAGAGCCTTCCCACATAAAGGGTCTGTTCAATATCACTTATTTTAAGTACTGCATAACCGGATCAGTACCATTCTATTCGGTTCAATGAAAGTTAAGTTTCATTCAAGTTTATTAAATAGCCCCTAAGTAACAAAATGGGGGTGGGGTGTGGGGGGGGGGGTATCCCTACCCCTTTGCCAAACTATGGGCGCCATCCAACATTGCACAGAAGTAAAACAATAAACATAGATTTATAACCCAACTCAGATAAGCAATACTCTACTTGAAGATCCACCATTTCCCCAATAGAAAGAGAGAATATATATTCAATATTGGTCATATCCAATGTATACACTTTTAGTCTTACATGAAAATGAGGCAATAGGGAGATTTGATGGAACACATATACCTGAAGTTCTGCAATTCTTTTTAATTGAGCTTCTTCCCCTCCTTCAGATAATGGGAGTGCAGCAACCAATGCATCAAACTGCATGTGGAACAACTTATAAGTTATGACTAAACCTTTTAGCTGGATATCTTCATCTTTTTCAACAACAATTTACAATCACACTCTTCAAAACACATTATTAAAAGTAACTAGTAGATCAGATAAACAAAGAGGGCAGCAATCAATCTGAATTGCTCTTTTCTTTTCCCCAATTATTTTTCTCCAGAGAAGAATTATACATGAACCAGTTCACACAAACACATCACTTAATTGAAAGCTTGAAACCCTAAATCAGTTTTTACCTGTTTAGCAGCTTTGACAAGTTCAGTAGCCATGAGCTTGGATTGCTCCACGGCATTAGCAGTCGTAGCAGCTGCAGTAGCAGCATCATCGGCAGGCTTAGCAGCCGGAGGGGGTTCCGGATAATTAGCGGATAATCTGGCCGGAGAAGCATCCCTCTGAAGAGTTCCGAAGGTATTAAAAGCAATAGATGCCGTGGAATTCACATGTTCTTGCAACTGCGATATTATGTCCATCTTCGACCTGCAGGCCAGTACAATGAAAGGGAAAGGCTCCGTCAGCTAGTTCGGGAATTTCTAGTAGCACGGAAATCAAATGAACTCCATTTGGAATTCAATTCATGCGCGAGCAATGCAATGACTGGTTTGATTTTGATATGAAGATTCATATAGGTATAGATAATCAGATGGAAGGAGATGATGATTCCCAGATCCGAAGTTTGATCGAGGAACTTCTAGTATGTTATAAGTACAGATGTAGACGGCCCACAGTACAGACCTCTTGAGGAATTGTCAGAAGATGATGGAGAACGGCACCACCGGTGAAGATGGCTTCCCTGATCGGAGGAAGAAGAACTTCGGATCCCCTGTCCCGCGTCTCCTAACCCCTATCCCACCCACCCCGTGAATAAAATTTGACCTATTTTATTTTCAATTCATTTGATTATAAAAATAAAATTTAAAAATAAAACTTATATAATAAAAAAGTACATAAAAAATTCTACAAAATTAGAGGTGATAATAATATTTTATTTTATGAAATGAATGGTTAAAATAAACAAACAAATTGAGTAAAATTTGACTATGTGATTTGTGAATAGTACTCCCTCCGTCCTATATCTTTCTTCCCGTTGCGTAAAACGAAGAAGAATCCCAAGTTTTTTCAATATATTTTATTTAGATATTGGTATAGAAATAAAAAATAAAACATACATATTTAAAAAACTACATCAAAAGTTTAACAAAACAAGTGGTGACAAGAATATTTTATTTTATCATATAGGCTATGAAAAAACTCAAATAAATATAAATTCCCGTGAAGTTGGAATAGTGCTCTGGGAAAAAAATTTTAGGATTGAGGGATTATCAAAGAAGATCTATGATGGACAGAATAAGTATTATTTATTTTTATTACAATCAAATCAGAAATAATTTTAAATATAACTACATTTAAATAAAAAATTATTCAAACTAGATCAGAATCATTCACATAATGTGAAGTGAACATGGCCTTACACTATGTTTGGTCCAAGGAAAAGAAAATGAGAATATTTTTCTTGTTTGGTTAGAGAAGAAAAGAAAAGTAGAAAGAAAAAGAAGATGAGAAGACAAAATGTACTAAAAGATGAGAATACCAAATTCTTCTCATTTTGATGATGAAACTGAGATAAAATCCTTTTCTTTTATTTTCCTTCCAAATTCCTTAAATATAGTGTTAAAAATATGAGTGAAAAATATCGGTTGATCATGAAATTTTTCAAACAAAAATGTGAATATAAGGTCGAAAATGCCCTAAAAGAATATAATTGGACCAAATCAAAAAGTTAATGCAATATTTGAGAGCGTTACAAGATACTTCTCAAGCTGAAAAATCCTGAACCGAACACATATAATAATATATTGCTCAAAATATAAAAAATAATCTTTTTTTTACAAACGTTTGTCAAGAAAAATCATATGAGAAGATCAGTTCTGGACTAATGGATTATTGAAATGATTTTGAATACTTTTTTATACTTGTCAAATGCTCTACTCAAGTTGTAATATTTATTTTAATTCTTTTATACAGAGTAATAGATGACCAACAAAAAACCTCTATATTTGAAAGACAAGATTTGATTAATAGCTTGTCCTCGAATTAATAGAGTATCTTAAAAATGATCTTTATTTTCGTTTAGAGACTTCCCAAAAAAGTACTTATATCTTTTATCATTTTTGAGAGCCTTTCTTAAACTTTTCACTTTTCTATCACATATTTTCACTTTTCTCAAACTTTCTGTCAAATCAAACTATGAGCTTTTTTGGCGTGGAGAGAATAGTACATACCTTGTTTGGTACTGATATTTTTTATTAGCACTTATGTTTTAAATAAATATTTAATGATATAGATTATTTTTAAATGAACTAAAATTAAACAATATCGTTCAATAACCTTTTAAAAATGTTAGCTCTAAGATCTAACATTTTTAATAATTTTTAATAAGTAATCCTAAAATATACTCCGTACAAAACATGGTTATATAATTCTAAGAGAACAAGAATAGTACCGTGACCGCCATTCACGAAAAAATTCACCCTATGTTTAGTTCAAATAAATTTGAAAGATGAAGAAAAGAAATTGATCTCTCTTTTTTTCTTCGTCAAAACTTAAGAAATTTAAATTTACTTTTTCTTAATTTTTTTTCATTTCATTTTCTTTACTTACCAAATTTTTTGTTTTATGCACTAATAAAACATGAATAATCATTTTCTACCTTATTCTCTTTTATTTTTGCTTCTGAAAATCTTTGAATCAAACATAGTGTCAAAACTAGGGACACACCAAGTACCACACCAACTTGTATAGTTGTATATTAATCTCCACACATTTCTTATGGGGGATGCTAAGGTGTTCCAAATAGTTACTATCAGAAATGTATTCATGTCTCGCACAAATAATACAAATGATAATCATGTCTATGAAGCATTAATATATCCATTTGAAGGTATGGTAACACGCTTTTTATTGGCAAAAAAATACATGTGGCAGAGAGGTGGTGTATAAGTGATTGTGCAACTTGGTGTGATGTGGGGATAACATTTTTATTTTTTGAATTAAAAAACCATGCATATACTCCTCCATGTATGGTTGCGCCAGATTTTGGGTTTATCAATCATTGAGAGTTGCCGGAGGAGATCCGACGCCGTTTGGATTGCCGGCGTGCGGTGGATGAACCAAGTCACCGATACCAAACCCAAACTCAGGGGAACCCCCGACCACCGGATTACCGAACAACCCATGGGTATCCATTCTCCCCTCTCCACTTCTATGATCACTCATCAAATCCGGCATCCCATTTTGACCAATCCCAGAATCAATTAACTCCTCTGGTTTCTGGGTCGTCTCTTTCTCATCACTCTGCTTGATGTGCTCTGCAGATTGAGGTTCTTCAACTGCAGGAGGAGCTTCGGATTGCCCAGAATCAGATTTGAGCGCTTGATTCGAATCAATTTGGCTTCCCGGGTCGCCCGTCGGTTTCCGGGTCAGTTCCGAATCCCCAGGACCCGTAGATTGATCAGGCAATAATGTATCATCTTCGCCGTCGTTCTCCGGCAATTGCTGTGATTTGGACGGCGGGGAGAGCTCAAATACCTGCATGACGTCATCGTGTTCGACCGTCCGGAGAATCTCCGGTCTTTGGTCGGTTTGGGTTTGGATCTGAAACCTCTGATCTTGACCCTGGTGTACAGTGGTGATGTTCGGCGGAGAGAAGGGTGTTTCAGTCATTTCAGAGGAAAACGGCCTAGGGTGAGGAACGGTCACCGCCTCCGACACCGGCGGCGGAGGCGGTTGATCCGTTTCATTTTGAACTAGAGGTGGGTTATTGGTGGCGGTGGGGCCCGGGACGGGGATGTCTTTTCTGTGATACATCTTGGCTTGCGGAGCGACGTCGTTTGAGGCTGAAACCGGAGTGAACCGCCCGGGTAGGAAAACCAGACCGCGGAGCAACGTGTCGCTGTTGTCCACCCTTATTGTCAGGAAATAACCGGCCTCGAAACAACCGTCGATTACGCCGGAAACCGATTTGCCGACCATGCTTTGGAGAGCACTAGTGTCGGACCGGTTCGTCTCGAGAGGAAATTGTGAAGCTTTGGGCGCCGGAGCTGGTGGTGGCGGAGAAAGACAGTTGCCTCTTTTAGGTACTCCGCCGTCTTTTCGTGGCCGGCCACGCCTTCTTTTAGCCGGAAGGATGGCAGCCGGCGCGCATTGGTCACTCATTTTAGACGATCAGTTGAACCGGTTCAATTTTCTGAAAGAAAAAAACGTTACTCCATATTTAACTTTACTCAAATCATTATTATTCTAATTACATTGGTTTCACTATGTTGCCGAATCTACTCAATATTTGAAAGGCAATATTTCTTTTTTTTTGAGTTTTTAATTTAAATGTAATTAATCATCAAATTCGTCCAATTTAAATAGATAATCAAAAATTAAAAAAGTTTGCATGAATGCAAATCATACAAATATGGTATAAAAAACGTACTCCGTACCTAATTATTTAAACGATATCGAATACTAAAAGTCAATAACTATAAATCGATGATTTTCTTCTAAAGATATACTCTAGCATATATGGAGTACTACCTAATACTTCTTCGTCCTATATCTTTTTTCCCGTTGCGCAAAACGAAAAAAAATCTTAAGTTTTTTCAATCTATTTTATTTAAATATTAGTATAGAAATAAAAAATAAAACATACATATTTAAAAACTACATCAAAAGTTCAACAAAATAATTGATGACAAGAATATTTTATTTTAGCATATAGGCCATGAGAAAACACAAATAAATATAAATTCCCGTGAAGTTGGAATAGTGCTCTGGAAAGAAAGTTTTAGGACAGAGACAGTAAATTTTATTGATGCGATTGAATTATACTCTATATAAAAAAAGATATGGAGTAATTGACAAACATATATATATGTATCCAGAGTCGGATGTTAAATAGATCAAAATATCAAATACTTCGTATCTAATTAGTGAAATTTGCTCTAAATAGGACTAAAACATAATGACTTTCCTAATGTAGAACTTAAACTTTTTTATTCCCTAAATAGGACTTAATAATGACTTCGTGGGAGAAATAATGTCCAGTAATGATGGACATTTAGTTGAATAATGACTACATGATAATGACCAAAAGTTCTACATTGAGAAATAAAAATATATGGTCCTAAATTGGGAAAGTCATTATGTTTTAGTCTTATTTAGGTAAATTACTCATCTAATTACCATATCCATATACGTTTATAATTCGAATATCAACAATCAAATCCAAATAATATTCGTTTCAAACATATACAAATTATTTATCCTTTAAATATATCAGAAGATCGTTTGAATTTTCAATCATTCATTCATTTTAAAGTTAACTATTGTGATGAACAAATCATTAATTTTCCTTTTATGCATACATGAGAATAATAATGTTCTTGATGCATATAACATTTTCGAAAAAGGATGAACTTCGTCCTATCTGCCCTTAAGCCCGACCCGAATAGTTATCTAAGAGGTGGTAATTTAAGTCATAATCTTAGATAAAGTAATAATTAGGGTTATAGAATAGATCTGTCTCTGGTACATGTAAGAACCTTATTCAAAGCATAATAAACGTACATCTAACTCTAGCGTTGCCAAAAGTCATAATTATGTAAAAAAAAATCCCAAATTTAGAAAATTAAAAAACTCAATTAGATTTAAGAAAATCTCAAGAACAGATCTGTTGTGGTACCGTGCTTCAGATTTCATAGTTAGCGAACAAAGATCTAAAAATTCAACGAATAATACATGGAATATAATTGTGTTTCATGTGGTTCTCCCTACTAATATAAATTAAACAATACAAAATACTTTGATAAAAAAAATACATATATACCTGAGATTGGATTTGGAAGAATTCAAAAATGTGAATAATTGTTGTCCGTCTGTGAAATTGAACCGAATGAATATAAATGTGAAGCCCTTCAATTCACATCATCTCAAAGAGTCGTAGATTTATTAATTAATTAATAACAATGACTACAATAATCATATGGTATTTATAATTAGTGTAGAAAAATCATTATAATCACAATTACGATAACCAAACGGGGTACTACCTGATGTAAAATGTGATTTACACGTGTAATTAACAAATACATGCCTATTTATAACAATGGTAATTTACCTAAATATATAGAACTATAACATAATGCCTTTCACAATATAGGACTATATATTTTTATTTTCCAATGTAGGATCATTGGTCATTATCTATTAGTTATTATTCAATTAAATATCCAGTATCACTTAAACATTATTATTCTCATTAGGCATTATTAAGTCTTATTTAGGAATAAAAAATAGAAATCACCCTAAATAGGACTAAAACAAGAGAAAAATACTAAAATAGGATTTTCATGTTTTTTTTTCCGAAATAGGACTTTGCACCGTAGTAATGTGACTTTGCACTGTGGCAATGTGGCAGTGTACATGTGCATATTACTATACTTTTTGGTAATGTATACGACCATGTTTGGTAATATAAGTCCTATTTCGGGAATAAAAACATAGAAGTCCTATTTTGGTATATTTACAATGTTTCAGTCCTACTTTAGTCTTTCTCCCAATAAAAAAGTTCAAATCCTAGATTGAAAAAGTATTTTTATTTTAGTCCTATTCACTGCAAATTTCACTTATAACAAATACTCCCTCCCCAAAAACAATTCTACGTTTTGTATTTACTGGAAAAAAAAGTATAAAAATTTAATTACAGTTTGTAATTAATGCTAATGGGTATTTTATGTTAATGGGTATTTCATGTTAATCGATTGGACGTAAATAATGGGCTAGATGTTAGTAATGTGTAGATACTACCTCCGTCTCAGAGTATTTATCCATTTTTAATTTTTTTGCTCAATTATTTTTAACATTTGAAGTATAACTAAATAAAATATATATTGTATATTAGTTATATAAAATAATATTTTGAAAATATTTTATATAATAAATTTAATAAAATTATTTTTGTATGAATATCTAATATTATTTTTATTTAATTTGAGATTAAAATTTATCAATTTTGACCAAACAAAGTCAAACGTAGACATATGGAGGGAGTATATAGTTGGAGTCTTGGATTATTCGGTGCTTTTCAATATCAACCCTAAATAGAGACCAGTTTAGTATTTATTTATTTATTGGATCTAAGTATATTAACTTTCTTTTTCTTGTTGGGTTTGTGGAGGCTTGGGCTTAATTTGTAGGCCCGGCCCGTTTGTTGTAACCCTAGTTGCGCTCTTCCTATATATATTGCATACTTGTACTTGTAATCGGCACCACAAGTGAAATAAGAAAATCCTCCTGTTGCAGCCGTGGATTAGGGAAACCGAACCACGTTAAATTCTTGTGTGTCGTTTGTTTTCCGTTTCTCTCTTGATTCTCGCAGATATCTGTGTGTGTTGTATGTTTAATTCCCAACAAGTGGTATCGGAGCCTAGTTTGTTCAACACGAACACAAATTGCTAGTTGTCACCCAGAGTTCTTGGATCTGTGCACAGTCGCCGGAGGGCAGAGGGAGCACAGGGGAAGCCGCTGAGAATCGTCGCTAACCCAGTCGCCGTCGAGTTCGCCGCTGGGTCTTGAACCGGGGCGAGGAAGATCGCTGACGTCGCTGCTGTGTGTTTCCGCCGTCGAGCTCCCAGATCTCTGCCGCGGTTTGCTATAGACCGTCGCACACATGAGTAGCGGCAGAAGGAGCCGCCGCCGCTTGGAGGAGTCGCCGCCGCCATCAATAGCAGATCCTGAATCGTCGCCGTCCTCAGTCGACGCCGCTGGTTCGAGGAGAATCGGCGCCGTTCGCGTGCAGTCAGGCCGCGTTGAGGATCGGCCGCCGCCGGGTTAAGGAGCCACCACCACCGGGTTGAGGGTCCGCCGCTGTAGTCGTGTAACCTGCGCACAGCTTCGCCAGAGAACACCGGAGCAGCAGCCTGTAGAGAGCAGCCGATGTCCAGATTTGCCGCCGCCGCCGCCCGTTAATCTTTGTAGCCCTGCGAAACAAGCAAAAAAAAAGGGGGCGTGAAGAAGGAAAGAAAAAACAGCAGGGCCGAAGGAAAGGAAAAAAGAGGCAGTCGGCTATTCTTTTTATTTGGGCCGTGATTATGAGTTTGGGCTATTTTTTGTTCTGACTAATTTAATTGGTGTGGTGGGCCTGATTTTCTGACAAAATTACCAAGATCTGAAATTTTTGTACCGGGTATCTCGTCTAGTCGTTTGATATGACAGAAGATGGGAAGTTCCGAATTGAGAAGTTCGATGATACAGATTTCAGTTGGTGGAAGATGCAAATTGAAGATTTGCTCGTTC